ATTGGTGAGGTTTTGAACTGTCTTAGCTAACTGTTTCAATGCTTTTTGCTGCATCTTTTGTTTTTCCATTTTAATACAATCTTTGGTTGTTTGTGAACTGGTTTTGATGCAGGTTTAGGATAGCAATAACACAGCAGTAGCTGCAGGTTTTGGACTATTGGAGCAGGGCTGATTTTGGACAAGGAAAGGTCACAATTTGACTTTTTTTGCATTTGTGCAGGGCTGGAAATTGACAGCAAGCTTGGACTGGTTTTGTGACAAGTTGTAGACAAGTTTTTTTTGACAGTTTTGGGAGCTTAATGTCATTTAAGAATAGGACTTGGTAGTTTTGAATTGATGTATTTAATCAGTTGATGAGTGAATTTGTAACTTTGATTATGACATTGAGTGTTTGAATGAAATGAGAACTTTTGGTGAAACATGGTCTAGACTTTGTAACTTGTTACATTTGAATTCAAAATTTCCACAATTCCAAATTGTAGGCATTAGAAATTGGATGGAACTTTGGTCCCTTGTACTTGAACCTCTCTTGAAAAAACATTCGCAACCTTGAATGGCATTTGAACTTGACATTTGAATTTTGAACATCATCTTGAAAGTTGAATGGTGTGGAACTTAAAATAATGAATGTTTGAATCTTGGCATAATGACCTTGAATCAAAATAAATTTGTATGAAATGAAATAAAGGTAAATTTTAAAACTTTAATGAATCAAATCTTGATGAACAAACAAATGGATTAAGAACTTTAATCAAAATCCAACTTTGATCCATTAACCATTAACGTTCAAACACAAGTGACTTGAATTACGAGCAACAGATGATCAATGGATCTTCAAACTCAACCACTTGTTTCATGAATTATCTTAACATAAGAATCAATGTCTTGAATATACCATCATAGTATAGATTGAAATTCGAGGTTAAAATCATTCTAAGTCACAAAATGACCCATAACATATTTCAACAAATTCCAATGGCCTCCTAACCACAACTTGACCTTGATTATTTTACGTAATCTCGTAGACAACGCTATTTGTGATACTTTGCAAAAATAATCGCCTCGGGACATTGAGAATTTAAGAAGTTATGACCCTCGAAAGTTGGACAAGAGTTTCTTGTGATTAGGTCAAATTTGTAAAATGACCTCTAAAGTATTCAAATTTTCGATGATCCTCTGCACACAATCAACTCTTGACTTATAAAGAGAAGTTGGAGATGACGTCAAGGAGAGTCATATGCAAAAAGAACCACTCAAAAATAAGGAATAATGAAGAAATTATGGTCATTTGAACTTGAACTGGTAAGAGTTAACTTTTGGTCGAAGTGTTTTGAATCGTCTCAAATAGTCTGATCTTTTCTTGTGCTCCAATGCATATTAATGCACATGTGAACCAGTGATGATGAAAATTTGATTGTTCTCTTGAGATTAGAGGCTAAGCTTTGATGAATTAGCCTTTGAGAATTGATGATTCAACATTCTTGAACACTTGAGGGACCAAAAACCCTAACTGAGGCGCAATACCCGATGCTCTTGATTCAGACCTGTCTCTGCACACGAAACAAAAGAAACACAAACATACACCTTTTTATGTGATTAAAAGATAGTGATACATAGGCTAAGAATGTTCAAAATACTTGACAATTCCTGCATAGTCAATGCTCGGAGGTGAGAGGTTAAAACCGACCATATTTCGTGACTTTGACTTCTGTATAAAAATGCAAAAACAAAAATGGGATCTTAGGTCAAAAATTGGGGTATGACAATATAATATAATGAACTGTGATTACTCACCCTTTCTGTTTGAATGTTACCTCCACGTGGGTAACGCGCATATGCTTAGGAGTAGCTTGTCGGAGCGTTGGAAATAGAGCATTTTGGAGTATTTCTTAGTTTTTTGTTATTTAAAAGTGTCTTGCTTTGATATGTAACATCGATTCGGAAACATTTGATTTGATTTTATGTTCTGTTATATTGGCATACTTTATAAGGATTATTGATTTTGAACTAATTTTAAATCTCTATTTTGATGAGACTAAATATTACGAGTTGAAAATTGAGAATATTATTTTAATGATAATTCTGCTGCGTTGCTTTAAAAAGGTGTGTTGATGTTGCATGGAACACCATAAAGGTGTATATTATAATAAGTTTTTATTACCATTGTTGTAACCCGTGTTACAGAGTAGGGTTGTATCTTATGATGTTTTATTATGATGACGTGATACCCTTGTGCGGTGTTACATGGCCTCTATGTTAGGAAGGTTCTATAAGCCCCTTAAACGAATTGTGCAAGATGTGTATGGGGTCCTTGGTCAGGAAGTGGATCATGAGAAGGAATTTTGTCCCGATTTTCCTATCCCCGTTGAAGGATTAGACCCTTTCAAAGCTGCTTCAGGACTTCTGAGGATGATCATGGTGCATCGTATGTGGGTGCAGAAACTTGATTATTTGCTCTTATTTGTTTTTTCTTTCTTGTTTCCTGTAATATTTGTGTGGCTTTCATGCCTTGGCTAGGACAACAATATTTATATACATATATTTTTTTACCTCGATGCTTTGGAGTTTTATTTAACTTTGTGTACTTGATAGGTACTTATCTCCTCTTTATTATCGTCTAGTGCAATAAACGGACTACTATTGTTATTGTCTTAGATTGATTACTCAATAATTATTTCTTCAAGGTTTGCTCTTTATCCTTACAATATAATATTTATTTGCCTCGTGGGTACTTTTAGATTTTTTCTACCTCGTGCACATTGTTGGTGTCCACTGGTCAACCTTAAGTTCACGCCACTTTATCTACAGGTTATTATTCTCTTTGGGTGTGAGAATCCTCACGCATTTGTCCTTCACAAGAGGCACCATGTTTAATTGAGGTGTTTTAAGTTTTCTTTGAACTCTATTGTCTCAATCAAACTTTTGTCATTGCTAGCTCTGATTGAGAAGATTTATTGTGGTTCTTTAGCGTCGCTAGGAACCGTACCTGGAAAAGGTAAGGTTTTTGTCCCTTCCCCTAGGTTTTATCTGGTTTGGGGTGGATAACTCCAGGTCCACCATCTATCCTCTTGGAGTGGCTAGTTCATAAAGGGGGGGGGGGGGGGGAGGGGGTGCGCCAAGTACATTAAGAAAAGTGCTCCTTGAGAGAATAACTTAGGCCTTCCTGTATAAGTCCATTTGTAGATGCAATGTTTAACGATTAGCATACTAATTTTTGAAATTGAAAAAAGCCTAGCAAGTTATTTAACTCATAAAGGGAGTCATAATGATACGATGCTCTCCTTATTTTTCATATATTCATCAAATGACCGTAGCGTCGACTGAGACAACCTTCTCTTTGTCTGCCCGATGAGGCGATGTTCCAAATCAAATTTATCTATGTGCCTTTATGTGACAAATGCCATGGGAAGATCAATGTCTTTGTAGAAACTGTTTCTTAACAACCATAGATGCCCGACTGCCTCTATGAATAGCTCGGTGTTATACCTTCTAAATAACTATACAACAATATCTTTGCTTCCCTTTACTTTGAGGTAGACGCTCTCCATGGTCCTCTAAAACATAATTGGGAGTGTGTTTATAGGAAAGTAAGAGTTTATCCCCTAGCGTCTGAGTGAATTCTTCTCACTCTTAGAGCATTGTCGAATGGACGTGAGATTCCTTGAGGAATTTTCACTAAAACCTTCCTCGGCCTATGCAGATTAAGCCTAGTTTCTTACTTTGCAATAATGTCTCATTGTTGTTCGGCTAAGACGAGATTGCAATTAGATGAGAATGCCGACCGGAGGCGTCTTTGATGATACTTTGCTTCAACTTTATTGGGGAGCCCGATGCACTTTCCCTATGTATTGTTCCCTTCCAGGGGAGCAGTTTCATCGTTCTGATAGAATGATCTATAGAGTTTCCCAAGACCAAATGATCTCTTCTATCACGTAACTCAGGTTCCTGAACTAATGATGCTGATCTCTGATACGTGTCGCAGGGGTGAATCTGAAATGTTAGCACTCCAATGCCCAAGTCAATTCAAGATTCAAGATGAATGTAGTGAAAATTAAAATTCAAAAGAGTGTACTTAATGAGAGATATAGCGACATCTTATATTATATAAGAGATTCTTCATCTAGACGTTCGTCTTTTTTTCTCTGTCTTGCTCTTTGAAAAAGGGTGAAGCGGTTGAGAAATTGGGCTATTAAGAAAATAACATGTGTTAACCAATGAGAAATGTAAGAGTAATTTAATAGGTGTATTTGTTGATTACATATGAGCCATTTTAATAGCCATTTTAATAGTGTAAAAATTGAGAAGTGAAAAGGTAATTTAGAAAATTAATGCAATTTATTTTTGTGGGTTGATACTTGATAGTTGAATACATAATAGTAATAAGTAACTAAGATAAAAGAAATTTTTCTATAATAAAAATAACTAAATAATAATAAATATAGATAATTAATAGTATTCACTAAACACCTAGATTATACTATTAAGCCATTTCAGTCATTTTATTCAATTTATTATATTCACAACAAATATCTAAACACCTAGATCTCTTACTATTAAAAAGTTTTTAGAGGTACAAATTAACTCAATAATAATTTTGTCTTGAGTTAACCACCTAATCCACCGGCCGAAAAAACAAAAACTGTAAAACATAACGACAAGTCAAATTATTCACTCCCTTTTCTCATTTCACCAATCAGCACTCTTTCTTTTCTTCTCCATTTCCTCACAAATTCACAATCCCTTTTTCTCTTGTTTGGTAAGTAAATTTCAATTTTCCTTCGTTGCGTGCAAATTAATCTTTCAATTCTGTCATTGCTATGTTGAATTTCTCTCTCTGATGTTCCCTTTTCCTATTTTTAGCTGCTAAATTCATGATTTTCATTGATCTAGTTATTTGAAATTTGAATTGTTTGTTCAGTGATACTGTTACTGTTGAATGAGTTTGTGTTAGGGTTTGTTGTTTTCTCTTAAGTTTGATTGGTTCAATTTTGAATGCAAACATGATGATGAAACCAAACTTTGAATTTGAAAATGAATCTGTAACTGATTTGAGTAATGGTCATGAGGAATTACTGAATGACATTGAAGAATTAAGCAAAGCTCTTTACTTGAACAAAACCCCTATTAAGCCGATCCTTAATAACCGATCTAAATCTGCCGAGAGAACGCGTGTTTCGAAGCCCCCGCTTAACTCGAATCCGAGATTTGTAAGTGAGGATCTGTTGATAGAGGACAAGAGATTGTCTTTGAAATGGAATTGGAAGAAGCCCTTGAAAGCTTTGACGCTTATCGGTTCTCAAAAGTTCGTTTGTCGATTTAGTCTTCATGTTCACTCAATTGAGGGACTGCCTTCGAGTTTCGAGGGGGTTAGATTAAGTGTGCATTGGAAAAGGAAAAACAGTGTTTTGCAGACCTGTCCGTCGAGGGTATTAAATGGTTTTGCGGAGTTTGATGAAACTTTGATACATAGATGTACGGTTCATGGTAGCCGTACTGTGTCTGGCCGTGGTTTGAAGTATGAATCCAAGTGTTTCTTGATTTATGCTTCTGTTGTCGGGGAGCCTGAACATAATATAGGGAAACATCAGGTTGATCTTACAAGGCTTTTGCCTCCGAGTTTAGAAAATTTATGGGGGAATCAAAGATCTGGGAAGTGGAGTACGAGTTTTAGGTTGACTGGAAAAGCATTAGGAGCTAGAATAAACGTTAGTTTCAGTTATCAAGTGATGAAGGATGAGTTAATGGGATTTGGTTGTAATAATGTGAATGTTGGTAACTCTATTAACTTGAAGACAGGTCCAAGCAGCGCAGACAATGTTGTCGGTTTTAGTCCTAACAACAGGGATATAAAGCTTCGGCGGGATCAGAATGACGTGGTGTTATCGAATGAAGTGGCGATGAATTCTGGCTCAGGTTTTTCCGAATCAATCACTTTCCTATATCAAAAGCTTGACGAGGGGAACATCAATAATTCAGCATGGGCAGACTCAGAGTCGTCTCAAGGATCAAATCTATATGTGTCTGATGACACTGATTTTTCCACCAGTGAACAAGGAGTAGGATCATCCGAAGGGGATTCATTCGAACTTGATCAGGCAGGAATTCAAATAGTTGATATGTCAACAGTTGAAATCATTAATGTGGATGATATTATTAAGGACGATGACACGTTTGTTGATGATAATGAAAGATGTGATTCACTTGATACTGTATGTTCTAGGAATGTAGATGTGGAAGATAGCAGCAAGCATAAATTCAGTTTTTCATGTGTCGATCTACCATGCACAAAGGTTGAGGATTCAGTTCCTGAGACATCAGAGTTTCTTGGCCAAGAACAATACTTGAGTTTTAAATCAGATTATAAAGCACATAAAAAGTCACATAGTTTGGATGATTTCATCGACACTGTTGCAAGTGATTTCTTAAAGACACTGACATTGGGGAGTGATTCATTTCGTTCAAGTTGTGACGGTGATCCCCTGTCTCCTAGAGAGCAACTTTTAAGACAGTTTGAAGATGAGGCTTTAGCTTCTGGTAACTTCACTTTTGATTTCGATGCAAACGAGGAGGAATTGGGGGAAGGTACATGTGGACATGATTTTGGGGATTATGCTGCTGATTCTGATTTATCTTTAATTATTTGCGCCGCTGAAGAGGTGTTTGAAAGGGAAAATCAGTCCTTAGTACAGAGGAGGAAGGCTAAAATTCTTGAAGATCTGGAGACTGATTCATTAATGCAACAATGGGGTTTAGATGAGAGGGACTTTCAAAATTCTTCAAGAAGATGGTCTGGTGGATTTGGAAGTCCAATTGAACTATCCGATGAAGAACCATCCATATTGCCTTCAATTGGAGAAGGGCTTGGTTCGTTTGTTCAAACTACAAGCGGAGGTTTTTTGAGGTCCATGTGTCCATCCCTCTTCAAAAATGTCAAGAATTGTGGGAACCTCATCATTCAGGCTTCTAATCCGGTTGTTCTACCTGCGAAAATGGGCAATGATATATTGGATATACTTCTAAACATGGCATCTGCTAGACTTCAAGAGCTTTGTGATTATATCACTAAGTTAATGCCTTTGCAAGATATCACCGGAAAATCCATTAAGCATATCGTGTCGGACGCTGACACCACTATTGAAGCTCCCGGAAGGTTAGCATTTTGTTTGTGGCATAATTACTTCTGAAAGATTGTATTTTCACTTTCATCGTGTCACTTTATGTTCCTTTTTCATTCAAAGCATTTGATTATGTTTTCTCTGATTTTCCTTATTAATTATGTTTCAGGCAGGGATTGCGTGAGCATGATTTGTTTGAAGAATTTCCAAGTAGTTATTTAGCTTACAAAGACAACTCTGTGTCTCTAGAATCTATAGCGCCTATGAGTATTGATAAGATTGAAGCCCTTTTAATAGAAGGGTTGAGAATTCAATCTGGTATGTCAAACGAGGAGGCACCATCATGCATTCATTCCAAAAATGAAGAAACCGACAATGATCTTGATGGTTTGATGGGTCTGTCGGTAACATTGGATATGTGGTCGAGACTTGATTCTGGAATCATCCAAGGAGAACATAATTTAGAACGAATTTTGAAGATCCTTAAAGCACACAATTCTAAAATCACCGAATTAGATAATGAAGGGTTGAGAAATTGCTCGGATAAAGAGAAAGTAGATGGCAGAATGCACGGATATTTTGGAAATTGCACAACAGTTGTTTTTATGATCCAGCATAGAGACCCTCTAAGAAATTACGAAGCAGTTGGTGTTCCAATGCTGGTTTTAACTCAGGTAGAAAGAGTTGACACACATACAACGGAGAAAGAAACCCTTCGATCTAGATTCAAAATCAAAGAGATTCATCTTGCAGGTGTCCTTACCAAACCTGGAAAAAGGCAAGTTTGGGGCACGGCGTCTCAGCAACAATCGGGGTTACGATGGTTGCTTGCGAGTGGCATGTGTAATACTGTCAAACACTCTTCTTCAAAATCGAAGGCGATTATTGTTAGATCTCCTCCACTGTTTACCAACAAGTTGATGAATCAGGATATCTTTTGGAGCATTTCATGTGGCAAAGATAACATGGATACCAACGCACACGTTAGGAATGTTGATATCATCTTCCCTAATTGAACAATGTCAGATTATTTTTTCTCTTGCTATTTAATCCATGTAAAATTGTAAATAGTTATGAGTTGATATTCTAATATGTATTTAATTTTCTGGCCTTTTAAACATGACCCTTTTTTAGGTAGTTAATTTTAAGGAATAAAGTAAAATTATTAGATAGTTAATTGTTACTATACAGAGTCTGGCTGTGTTGTTGGTATAAAAGTTCTACTTCAAAACCCTTTTTAAGATAAATTGTACATGTGCAGTTATAAACTCTTTAACATAGTTGGGAATTTGGATACTTTCATGTTGGAATACCTAGTAACATTAGTAAGAGCACATGCAGCACCGTGGCCATCAAAACACAGTCAAAAATTTTCATATAATACACACTATTGGAGCTAGCTATGAAGAAGTTGGGTGTGTGTGCATGCCTTCGTAGGTTGTTATCACATATCTTGAATCATCATTATCTCTTTCAACTCTCTTTTTTACAGGACATCCCTCCACTGAACATCTATAATAATTCCTGGAACACATATACATACTCATATAATATAATGATATAAATTATGCTATAAATTAATCATAAGGTATTTAATATTGTATATATACCTTGGATTGGGACTGTTCTTAACCATTTTCTTTCCATACTTCCTCCATCTGTAACCATCATCAAGTACTTCAATCTCTGTCATTGTTTTGAATGCAACTCTTTTCTTAACTTCCTTCTTCCAAATATTCACTCCTCCACTCATATGAATATTATTAGTATCTCCTAAAACATCATCATGACAAAACCAGAATAATTATAAGCTATAGACGTTACATAAATAACATACGCTACTCTGATGAATTGAAAATGGCTTACTGGTATGATTAGAAGACCACTCAATGTTGCTTTCATCGGATACTTCATTGGCTTGATAAACAAAAGACTGATCAGTAGTAAGATCGATTTGTTGCCAATCAATGTCATCGAAACTCAAGTAGTCAGAGAGTTCAAAAGACCATTGCTGGTTACTAAAATCACTATCAAGTGATGATGAATTTGCTGCAACTGGATTTCTCTCTGTCATTTTGTTAGTGCAACTCATCATATGAAAACAAATATGATCGCGATTCAGACAATATATAGAACAGTTTTAGTGAGCTAGCTAGCTATGCAGGTTCATGGTGACTTTCCTATGTATGAATCATTGTAGGAAGTTTCAAAAGTATGATAAGTCCATGTGTGAATTGACCAATATATATGATAATTTTTGTGGTAAGAATTGTGTGAAATTATAATCTCAATAACTGCATAGATTAGTCTCCATTTTTTCGGTTGAAAATACGTGCTTGATTATCAAAACCATAATAAAGATGACTTATGGAAGACTTTCAATTTCAAATAGTATTATTATTTATCAAGCAAAGAAACATTAAGTCTGTTATTGGAAGTCAAAAGTGATTGTGATTTTTTGTGGTCTATTGTTGGAAGTTTCAAGGAACCACAAATTGAAGGTACTGCTGTATATTTGAGCTATAGGGAACACAAATCGTCTACTTTTTGTTTGGCAAGTCTTCTAGAGTACTTGTAGTGGAAAAGTATTTAATAAATAAACTCACACTGTATATCAATAACTAAATGTTGGAAATTAACCAAGAGGCCTAAATTAGTGGCCACACATTTTTGGAGATTTCTTTTGTTTACTTCAATGTGTTAGAACAATGGCCTATCTTGTTGTGAAAGAGGTGTTGGTCAGCGACCCTCTATGCCATCTTCATTTTTGTTCGATCGAGGAAATGTTGAGTAGCGGTCTCATCAAGATAGTTCGTGATGGCAAGCTTAATTTAATAAATATCCCTAGAGAGTTTTCTCTATTAGACAATTATTGTATTAGACCTATATCTATTTATAAAATAGTAATAATTGTATATGAGAATATTTATGGAAATTCTTATAGTATAAAATACGGATGAAATCAATGGAAAAGGTAAGTCTATGCTACTTACATGGTATCCGTAAGCATCAAGTATTGATCTAGATATCTAAGTTTAACCGCGTCGCCTTCTCCTTCTAAATCCTAATCGCGCCGTCTTCTTCCTCAACCTAATCGCGTCGTGCATCACCTTCTCCTTCCTCTCCGCTTCCATTTCACATCACCAACTCACAATGACCGAAGGCAGTAAGTCCTCCTTATCTCCAACAAAAAACTTGACTTCCTCTCCTCAGTCTGCCACCACGGCAACAACATTATCTCCTATTCACTCCACTTTCACCATCTCAAACATCACAAATTTCATCAAAATTACCTTGAACATCGAAAAGGGACAATATAACACATGATCTGAACTTTTCAAAATTCATGCCCGAGTTCATCAAGTTATTGATCACATTAGGTTGCATCCTCTCCCGACCTTAAAACCACAATCATTCACCTCTAGAAACGTCTAGATGCTATTGTCCTTTAATAGATTTACGGTACTATATCAGATAATCGTGTTCACACCGTTATCGAGTGCGATTCAACCGCAGAAAAAGCATGGAACCGGTTGTTCAAGGTCTTTTATGGAAATTTCAAATGCAATCATTTTTAAATGCTCATATGGAACAATTTCCAAATGCTCGTATGGAACAATTTCCTGATGTCTCTAACTACTGTCAACATTTGAAATCACTTTACGATTTGTAAGAACAAGATTTGAATCTGTGTTTAATCTCTAAATTTTGATGATAAGAATCATATATTTTATGAAGAACATTTTTAGTTCTAATGGTTTCATTGAGCGTGTAGATACATTGTTAGCATTCTGGATAGTCTTAATCAAATATCATCAAAATCACTTCACCACTCAAAAGAAGAACCATTGAGTTTCGTTTCTAATGTAACATCAGTATGAAATGCTTAATGTTCGACAAGAAAAGAATCTCAATGATTTTCCAAGAAGAGAGAATTTCTGATAAGCTGGTGCTTCAAGATTAGAAATCAGGAGAAGATAAGAAACAAGCTTCCAACGCAGAAGGTCAGAAGTCAAGATTAGTTCATTAGAAGAGTTGATGCTTATGATTCTAAAGACGAAGTCAAGATTCTGAACACATATAGAGAAAACTTCTGCTCCAAGATCAGAAATCAAGATTTACTCATCAGAAGAGTTGCTGCTCATTCATCTGAAGACAAAGTCAAGATTCTAAAGACTCGAAGAATTCACGGAATACACACGTTCATTCAACATCATAAGTATTCCTTCAGAAGAAAGGACCAAAGAAGATCTTCTGGACTCATTTCTAATCAACATCACAAAGTCCATCAGAAGACAAGATCAAAGGATGATATCTTCTCAAGCTAATCTACTCAACATGAGTAATATCCAAAAGAAGACAAGTATCATCAAAAGTACCACTACTCTCAATAGAAGAACTATTGAGACCATTTTTATAGAAACATCAGCAGTTCTAAGGAATGCTTAATATTCATTAGAAAGAGAATCAAGTATATTCTCAGGAAAACGTCACTCTCAAATAAAAAAACATACGCTTCCAAAGAAAGAAAAGAATTCATGATCAAACAACAAAGATGTAGCTTACTATAAGTTGTTGCTTTCAGCTCAATCCAAAGATCAGAATTCAAGGGATCAGAAAGAAGGAACTCAATGTCAAAATCAGATGTACTGATATAAGCTATTGCTTTAGAAATTAGACATTAAATATGCAGCTTAAGAAAACCTAACTATCAAGGGATCAAGAATCAAGGATCAATTCACGAAGTTAAGATCAGAAAAGCTTTCTCTCAAAGAAGAAAGTGTTCATCAAATAAGCTGTTGCTTAATATTTCTGAAGACAATATTAAACTATGTAAAAGATTCTGACTATACAACAATGAAGCTTCTTCTGGATCACTTTCATCATTATATCAGAATCAATCTAGCAAGAAGAAGAGAGGACAAAGATAAAGATCAAGAGACATTTTCCAAGCTTACTACTTCAAGTTTGAAGTAAATCATCAGAAGATAAAGTCTTAAGAAACTTAGCCACGAAGTTTACAGTACAATCAATGCATTTAAAATATTCACTACTTGCTTACGTATTATACTATGTTGTCTCCCTCGATGGAATACTACCGTTACTGTAGCTGGCAAGTGAAAGTGACGTCTTTGTACTACCAATGGTCTTATTCTCAAGCCTATATAAAGAGATCTCATCAGCATTTGAAAATTGACGAACTATCAATCATTATCACTCTTGAATCAAATTGCTGAAATACTATGAAACAACAAGAGAAAAGAAGAATCATTATTCATATACATCTACAAATATTCTTCTAGAGAAATATCAAGAACACAAGAGCCGCTGCTCATTATTATGTTAAGATATTAAAGGATTAAACGCGAAGAGTTGTTGCTCATTATTTATGTGTTAATATTAGAGTTCTCAATACAAAGAGTTGTTGCTCATTATTTATATTAGAGACTTTGTTCTTCATTCTTGTGTTCGTCTGATTACTTAAAAGCAAACATTATAAACACAATTGATTGTAATTTTGTTAAGAGTTGTGTGATGCGGTGGGAGAACTGACTTGAGGTTTTGCGTTTGTGTTCGCAAATGTTGCGGTTAGCAAGAGTCGCCACCGACTTTTCTTTTATCCAAAAGGAAAGGTAAAAAAGCACAGGAAAGACCTTTGAGATGTTTTCTTGAGTTCGGGGGGTAGATTATGAAAAGGGAAGGTGCTAGCACCCTTTTCATCCATGGTTTTCCATGGGCTCTTAGTTACTTGTTTAGATCACTTGCTTTGCTTTTGAAATTGTTTGAAATGGTACTTTGTGTGGTTTTGAAAGTATTTTGAAAAGAGACCATCTTTTAGGCAATCTTTGTAATGATTCTTGTTTGTAAGAATGTATACAAAGATATTTGTCTTTTGAAAATGTTTCAATATTTTGAAAGTTGTTTTGAAATGTGTGTGTGTTTTTGAAAATAGCAAGGATTGTTTTGAAATTGATCAAGTAACTAGAAGCTATCTACCTACTCAAATGTCTTTCTT